TGAAAATCACCCTGTGCAGAGGGACTGGGTCGCACTGGGTATTTTAACTGGGGAAAAAAAAAGCAACTGGGACAGGAGATGGGGGGATAGGAGAGTATTTGTCAAGTACCGAAAGAACATTGCCCAGAAGAGCACAAGACACAGAAGAAAAACACACAGGACGTGTGTTGGCTGAATGTTACGGAAGATTTCCTAACAATAAGGACAGTGTAATAATGCAGCTAAGGAGATGGTCAACTCTTCTCGGCTGGATGGCTCTAAGCCAGTGTATTCTCAACCTTGGCCACCTTAAGGGATGTGGACTTCAACTCCCAGAATTCCCCAGCCAGCATGGCTGGCTGGGGAATTCTGGGAGTTGAAGTCCCCCTATCTGAAAGCTGCCAAGGTTGAGAAACGCTGATACAGAGAGACCCAGCTTGGAGCAACCTGAATTCATCATCCCAAAATCACTCAATAAGGTTCATGGAACTGCAGATGAGCCAGCTCTGTGACCTGGCAGCAAAGAAGGTAAATGCAATCTTAGAATGCAGCAAGAAAAGTCTTTTTCTCAAATCAAGGAAATTCCACTCTGTTCTGCGTTGGTTAGACCGCCCTCCCCTTAGTCCCGTGGTCAGTTCTGGCCCTCCAATTTGAGCCAGTGTTTCTCAACCTTGGCAACTTTAAGGGGTGTGGACTGCAACTCCCAGAATTCTCACCCACGGCCACTCTGGCTGTGGAATTCTGGGAGGTGAAGTCCAGATACCTGAAAGTGGCCAAGAGTACAAAATACTGTTTTAGAAGGGGGGAGAATGGAGGAGAGAAAGAGGATTTGGGAAAGGTGGAGTGTAGGATGCTTGGGGCTGGGCCAAGCCTAGGAGTACCTCCATCTGCCAGGAATGTATTTAATCCCAGGGAAGAAGATGGCCAGCATAGAGATATGTTGCAACATTAAGGAATCCAGTTGACAACCCATCTAAAGTTATTGCTTAAAAGAGACTTGGATTCCTGGCTTAAATGTTACCAACGTGATTGTGGTGCTCAAAATCTCCTTCACATCCCACCTCATCCCTTTATCTCAGGGGCCCAGAGGAGAAAAAGGAAAGAATTTCGAAGCCAGAAAAAGCTTTAACGGAGCGAGACAAAGAGATCCTTCTCAGATGTCCTAGCAGAGATTTCGGCTTTTCGCTTTAATTCTGAAGAACAGAAAGGTTTTAAGGAAGGACATCCCCAACAAGGAGCGTCTGCGACAGGGACATCAAATTTATGTCACAAATGAAAGGAGTAAAATAAAAGATGGTGTAGGAGAGAGTTTTATGTCTCCATAATGCGGGAAAGCGTCAATTCCCAAAATCCATACTAGCCTTCCCTAATCCAGTGCCCTCCAGATGAGCAAAACTACAACTCCCAGAATTCCCAGCCAGCACAGACCATGAGACCTGTACCCCCCTCCCTCATCTGCAGGCACAGCTGGATTAAATCTGAAGCCAAGCAGCATGTTGACAGGTAGAAGACTCTGATTTAGCTTTTTATTCTTTTTTCATCTGAGGGGAGACCCAGAGACTTTATTTCTTAAAAAAAAAATCTGGTAATTTCACCTTCTGATGCCCACCTTCAAAACTGAGCCTCTCTAGTGTTTGCTAGACCCAGTGATAAACTCCATAAATGACAGATCAATGGGGTTCCCCTTAAGCAAGGGCTAATAAATACCTTGGATCTTTATTTTTGAGTGTGCATCTTTCTTACTCGGCTAGCAACACACAGCGTAGCTCCCCTGATATGAACACTTTTTTTTTATTCTATTACTCTAATGCCCTATTTAATAATTACTTTAATAGTCTGAACTATGAGAATTCAAAGCACATTCTTACAAATATTCACCTGTTCAGTTTTTGATGGTTATGTGGATGGTTGGTTGGTTTTCCTTTTTTCTTTGCTGTAGTTTATATATATGTTTTATCTGGTCACTGACGGAAATAAAATATTCTCTCTCTCTCTCTCTCAAAGGGAGCTCATTATATCCCTGCAGACTCTAAGGCTGGTACTCAAATCTGCTCTTACAAGTTCAGTGCATATTGAAATTGTTCAAACTACAGGTAGTCTTTGCCTTACGACCATAACTGGGACTGGAACTTCTGCCGCTAAGCAATGCGGTCATTAAGTGAGTCACGCCCAATTTTATCATCTTTTTTGCCACGGTCATTAAGCAAATCACATGGTCATTAAGTGAATCTGGCTTCCCCCATTGACTTGGCTTGTTGGAAGCCCCCTGGGAAGATCGCCAATGGCGATCATGTGGCCCTGCGACCCTGCAGCTGTCATAAATACATGCTGGTTGCCAAGTGCCCAAATTTTGACCCCATGACTACGGAGGCACTGCGACAGTCGTAAGTGCAAGGACAGGTCATAAGTTACTTTTTTCAGCACCGTCATCACTTCAAACGGTCGTTAAACGAATGGTCGTAAGTCAAGGGCTACCTGTAAGTTGATTAGTCATTGTTGCACTCCCAAGTGCTGTCTCACGTCTGGAGATGCGTTAGTTTCACTGGATGCTAGAGCTTGGTTCCTACTCATCCATTTTTGCTTCAAACAAATTTTCTTCCCCATCAAGTTGGTTCCCTGGGTCTTTAGGGACTGCTTCAAATCAACATGGCTTAAGAAAGGGATCGAAAGCACCCACCCTTTGGGCTTCTCAATGGAGACCCTCTGCTCAAGGCTGGCTGGGGAATTCTGGGAGTTGAAGTGCACTCATCTTAGAGTTGCCAAGGTTGAGACACACTGGTGCTTAGGAGTGTTCAAACCTCATGTGACAAACAAGGAAGGATGTGTTTAGAAGGAAACAGCAACCCATTTGAGCATTTAATGTAATTTATATAGTAAGTTGTCTATAGGACCTGAGTTTTGGTACACCCTGTGTGTGTGTGTGTGTGTGTGTGTGTGTGTACATACATATGTGTGTGTGTGTTCACTTTTTAGATTTTATCTTGCTGTTTTTCTGGCCTTTGGGCTATCATAAACTAATAGTAATCAACCCATGATCTGGTCTGAATCTGCCTTGGGCTGATTGCTTTAACTTCCAGATCTGCCAGGGATCTCCTCCTCTGAAATGTAAAATACGTTGTACAGTTTTTCTGCCAGAAGATGGGAGTACTGCATAAGGCAATTCTTGGTCACATGGAAATGAGACAAAAGATTTTATCCAGGTTTAGGGCAAAGCAGGAAGGAAAGGCGGAGGGTTGGGAAAGGTGGAAGGGGGTCTGCAATTCAAGCAGCGAAGGGCAGAACCGTCTGGGGCACAACACAAAGTCACCATCCCACGTGCTGAATCTTTATGAACGGTGTTGTGACCCAGGGCTGAGACCGAAGCCTTCCTTCCAGGGGTTTTCATCGCTGAGAAAAAGGGTGCTCCGGATGCAGAGGTGTGAATTCTCCCCCCGCGTTTTCTTCTCCCAACATGGCTGAATAACCGGGAGACAGGACCCCTTTGCCAATCTGCTGCCAAGAATCCAAACGGGCCGGATCCGGAGGGGGTTGGCTCCCCCCAAGAGACCCGCTGCTTACTTGTAATACTCAGCGGCGACATCGAAGCTCCCCAAGAAGATATGGGAGTTGGCCAAGTTGCTGTACGCTCTCCTCTCGGCGGCTTTGTCTCCAAACTCCTTGGCGATGTTAAGTCGCTGAAACGGATAAAGGCAGGGGCCATCACTGCAGGGTTATCGCCTCTTTATCAGGGGCATCGTCTCCCCAGTCCCTCCCCCCCAGCTGACATACATTTGGTGACAGAAGTGCCACGGAGCTCCAAAAAGCACGTGGCACGCTTACTGCTTTGTTCAGAATTCAGGACCGAGGGAAAAAAATGTTATTTACTTTCTTTATACATCCCTTCTATTTATAGGGCCAACCAGAGTTTCTCGGAGAGATGGGTGTCAGATCAATCGGAGGAATCAATCAACAAAATAAATAATTTCCTAAAACGCTGCAGACATTTGCAGGAAATGCTTTTGTTCGGATTTCAGGAGGGTCTGGACGAATAGCTTCTACCAGAGGTAGACTGTGCTTCTCCAAAAGGAGCATTTTTGCTTGGGGTTAGTGCTAGGAGATGGGGGGCTGAAATGTTCTGATTTGAACTGCCTGCAACGGCTTGCTTGGACTGTGAGAAAGCTGCTTCCAGCTGTTTCCATCATCTGGGGGAAACCGTCGAAGCGCAGAACATGGGTTCAACTCCAGACAGGGCGTGCTGAATTGAAATACCCTTACTGGAAGTCCTGCTAAACATCCATTACAGGTTGCTAGCAGCAATTTCCCAGTATTTTCAATCTACCTTCTCATCCCGACAGCTAAGATGCCGGCCGTGTTCTAAAACGGGGAAAAAAATGAATGGAAAAAATAGACTTTCTCTCCAGGATATCTGGAGAAGGTCTCTCTCTAGCACCGTTTGTCTGTCTGTCTTTCGTATTTATAACTCACATCGTCCTACAAAGCCAGGGAAATGGATTTTGGGGTAGAACGATTGAATGTCGACGTTAACACTGCTTGTAAACCTCCTTAAAATTAATGTTGATGTCCCCCGATTGATATAGTCACAAGTTTCTTATTTATCTCCCCTTGCTGTGTTTTCTTAGCTTCTGTGTGCGTGAGCTTGTGTCTCTTTCAATAAAATGTTCTTAAAGAATTGCACATGAATATAAGGCGGCCATCCACTCGTTCCTTATTCATCCACTAGTTATTCTAGATTTTTTACAGCATTTGCAGGCTCATCTTTCCTTTTGAGGGGTCAAGGAGGGATATTTGGGGGAGGCGGAGGTCTTCCAATCACAACAACGTTCTTGTCAGGTAGGCAGGGTTGAAGGTAAACGACTGGGCTAAAGACATTCTTTGAGCTTCGTGCTCAAACAGCGACTCAGACTTAAGTCTCTCTGGCCCCAGTTCAACAAATTTCTGATAAATCCACTATCAGCCCCCCAAAGGGATTCCTGCTACACTTTTTACTTATTTTCTAGTGTTTTTAACTATAAATGGCTTTGAAGGAAAAAAATTAAGACCTCTTTCAAATCAAACTGGCAACCCCCTGGACACGTGCACAGAAGTTTCTCAGCAGCAGTATGGAAGCTGATTTGTTACTTAAGGCAGCGGTTCTCAAAAATGTTGGTCTCAGGACCCCCGACCTTCTTAAAAATGACTGAGGACCCTAAACAGCTTTGGTTTATGTGGGTTATATCTATCGATATTTATTGTATTAGAAATTAAAACTGAGACATTTAAAAAGATTTATTTATTTGACTTTGCAGACCCCTGAAAGGTTCTCGGGGGCTCCTGGGGGTCCCCAGACCACACTTTGAGAACTGCTGGCTTAAGGGGAAAGTTCTCGTGTTTATAATCTGCTGTGTTTCATGTTGTGTCTTTTGACTGCAAAAGGCATCCAGTTACAAAGAGAATGCAGCCAAAAATATTCCATTACAAAGAGAACAAATACTTCCCCTTTCACCAGCCAGCATTGTGGGAAAGGGAAACAGAGTGAAATTATGAGTTTATTTTTAGATTTCTACTTCGCCTTTCCTGCAGGAACTCAAGGCTGCAGTCACAGCATTTCCTCCTCCAGTTGTCCCCACAACAACCCTCCAAGGTAGGCTGGCCAGGCCCACAAGGACATTCATAGCTAAGGGTGGAGACGAACCTGGATCTCCCTGTTCCTAGCCCACCCCCTTCCAACTTTTGTCCCCTAAAACCTTCCCACCCCAACTTTCTTCAGCTTGCGACGTTCAGCAGACCCGAGGAAGAGAGACTTGTTTTCTGTGAAAAGAAAATTAACGCTGAGATCCTTAACTATTAGCTGACAACTGGAAGGAGGGAAGAATCCACGAGAGTTCTGGGGCAGGGCAGCCCCTTCAAACGATGGCATTATGTTGACCATGAAACCTACGTGCAAATTAAAACAAATTGTGGAAGAGGAGGCTGCTGGGCAAAACTGCAGGCTGCCGTCTTCCCCTCCCATCTGAGCATCCCATCTTCCCCAGCATCAGAGTTGCTTATAAAAGCTGCAACCTTGACACAGGTGTAGGGGAGATGGGAGGAGATGTGCATTTTGGAGCTCTGCAGCCACCAGCAGAGTACAGGTAATCCTCGACTTACAGCCATTCGTTTAGCAACTGTTTAAAGTTACAACGTGCTGAAAAAAGTGACTTATGACCGGTCCTCGCACTTATGACCGTCGCAGCATCCCTGTGGTCATGGGATGAAATTCGGGCACGGGGCAACCAGTATGTATTTACCTGATTGCCACTGGCAACCTTCCCATAGGGCATCTGACAAGCAAAGTCAATGGGGAACCATGTGATTTGCTTAACAACCATGTGATTCGCTTAATGGCTAGGGTGATTTGCTTAATGACCACTGCAAAAAAGTTCGTAAAATTGGGCACGACTCACTTAACAACTGCCCTACTTAACAACACATTTTCTGGTCCTATTGTGGTCGTTAAGCAATGACTACTTATAGAGTACAGTATAAACATTGAAGAGTAATGAAGAGTAATAGTGTGGAGTAATAGTAATTGTCATAGTAATACTATAGCAATAGCAATAGAATAGAATGTAGGAAGCAGTCGCGTATCACTTTTACAGGTTTGTTTTACAAAACAAGGCATCTCCCCCAACCCTTATCGGGCGATATCAAGAGAGCTCCCATCCAGGGTCCAGTGCTCTTGTGGCTCTCTTGAGTCTGGTCAGTCTAATTCGGTGCGGTTTAAAAAAAGAACCCGTGGCACAAACCAAACACTGTTCTTATCCCGGTTGTGAACAATCATTGAAGGGTGGCCCGCAACGGATCTCTCCAAGGCTCTGGGTGGCCCTGACCCCTCCCCAAAAAGCTGTAGACCTCTAAACTGGGACAGAAAGGAGAACACCCTGAGTTTCACCTGCTTATGGAAGACGATGGCTTTGCTGAAGTTGCCCAGCAGGTACTGGGCATTGCCCAGGTTCCCGTACGCCCTGCCTTGCGCAGCTCTGTCAGCCAGCTCCTTCACGAGAGAGAGGTTCCTCCTACGGGAAAGCCAGAAGAAACAGCTCTTAATGCGCGAGAAAAGGTCCAGAAGGCCATTTCCAATAGGAACACTGTGCATTCCTCAAAAGCAGCGTTGGCACCCTTCATTCCCTCGCTTATCACTTCTCCCTTTTCTTGTTAACTGCTTAGGCTTTCGCCCAGAGCTGTTTTGGATTCTGCCCTCCAGAGACGCGTTTAGGATGTTTTTCAAATTAAAAAGCACCATGGGATTTCCTTGTGGTCCCCTTTCCCAGCTCCCAATCAATGAGTTTCCAAGGGCAGACAAGGTGGGCCAAGGGCTACCCGCTGCTGAGGCTTCTTTAAGCAGCCACACAGATGAATAATTCGGTGAACGACAAGACTGCACGAACAATGGTGATGGAAGAGTTGGGGGGCTGAAAGGTTGGGGGGCCCAACTCACTCTCCCAACTGCTCCAAGTGAGGCAGAGGTAGAGCAAGAAGTCAACCCAAGTCAACTGAAGTGATTGGGAAGGGAAGGCAGGCGCGCCAAGGGGGTTCTCACCGACACCTTGGTGCCCAGGAGTAGCAGGGAAGAGACAATCACTACATTTATTAGTGGCTGGAAACCCTTGATGGACGTTTTGCTGAAAATGGGGAAAAAAAACAAACTTGGGGTTTATGGGTTTGATGATTAGAATGGGTAAAAAAATGGAAAGAAAGGAGTTATGATGTAATCTTAACGAGAGAGTAAAGTATAAATGCATTTATAACTGCTGTAAAGAAGAGCAGAAGCCCTTCCTCCCTCCCTCTTTCTCTTCTCTCCTTCCTTCTTTCCTCTTCCTCTTCTCCCCTCCCTCCCTCTCTCCCCCTTCCTTCCTTCCTCCTTCTCTCTCTCCTCCCTCCCTCCCTCCACTTTCACTTTCACCTTTTCTTACTTTTCTCTTTTTCTTTTTTTTCCTAAGCTTGCATTACCTTTACTCTGTAAAACTTTCTTAATAAAAATTAATTAAAAAAAAAAAAAGGAAGAGTGGGTTTCCTTCCCTGGCAGGACTTTCCACCCCCAAGCTTCCCTGGAGATCCCAGGGCGTGCTCCTGGCAAGATTGGGAGCGAACGAGGGCCACGCTGACTATCGGGGGGGGCTCAGTGGGACCCCCAGCTCCTCCCCGCCTGGAGAAGAGCCTCCACTCACTCGTAAAATTCGGACGCCTTTTGCAGAGCCTCTCGGATCTCCTGGGGCGGCTGGCCGGGATCCTCCGGGGGCACGGCCCACAGTGCCTCCTTGCCTTTGGCGTGGTAGACGTTGCCGATGTTATACAGCGCGCGGGCCTCCCCCACCTACCAAAAAAAAGAGGAGCTTGTCAGGGGGGTTTCCCTCCAACGATTGTCGTAGGCCAATTTCTCATCACGGTGTGGCTGCTGGGACCCCCCTCCCCCAAAGATGCATTCAGAAACTTAGACACCCCCCCGGGGAAAGCCATGATGTCATTACGGGAATGATGTCAGTTATCCAATCTGCCTCCACTGCGCCACTGCGCGAAGGAAGCACGTTTTCGCATCACAGTCCCATCATGATGTCGTGTGCGACATCATTCCTCCGTGCGGCAGTGTTTTGTCACCTCTTTTAAGCATCTTTAACCAACCTGACTTCACACTCCCGCTCAATGTTTCTCAACCTGGGCAACTTGAAGACGGGTGGACTTCAACTCCCAGAATTCCCCAGCCAG